GGGGGCGACACCGATGGAAAAGGAATCCAGGAAAGTGGTCCGCGCTGGGGCGAGTGCCATTCCATGCCTTGGACGCCTGACGGGCATCACGCATGTTTCATGATATGGCGCCGGTTATCATAAAACGCTGGATCCCCCATCCTATGTCATCTCTTGGGAGCACGACTTTTACTTCCGCCGGCTTTCGCCGGCCTTCCGCCGGCGGAAGCCGGCGGAAGCGGCCTTGTTCTGCTTCCACCAGCTTCACCAGCTGCCGCCAGCCTTCCGCCGCCATACTGTCGGGGAAAAGATGTCAGCTCCTTCGACCCTCGAAGGCGAGCCATTTTCTCGGGCGCCCCGTCTGTTTCGGCGCCGGGGAGCCGATGTCCAAGGGCACCTGTCTTCGCGATCCGCGCTGCGCGAAGTGCGAATAATGTTGCGCTCTCGCTCCGCCCCTCAGGGGAGAAAGGGGGAGGGTGAGTAAGAACCGCAACCAAATCGCGAAGCCAGAATTACTTCGCGCCCTCGATGGCTCCCTTGCTGTCGGGTTCCCAGGCAAGAGACGAGCCAGGATGAAGCAGTCCCGGCCCGAGCAACCCATCCTGGGCCCTCGGGCCGGAACTTGAGCCAAAATGACGACGGACAACGACGACGACGACGACGACGACGCCGACGACGACGACGGCGGCGACGACGACGACGACGACGAGGGCCTCGCGCGGGGAGGCCCCGGCGACCCCGTGGCGGCGCCCGGCCCCGAGGCGGTGCCCGCCGGCCTCCCTGGGGAGCGGCGGGCTCGACCGCGGACCCCTGGTGACCCAGTTCGGGGCCCACGAAACGGACTCCTCGTGATCCATTTCGGGGTCCACCAACGGAGGGGGGATCCTAAGGGGGGGGGACCCCTCGTGACCCATTTCGGGGCCCACCCGAGCGGTGTGGCCAGAAAGCGCCCGCCACGACGCATCCACGACCCATTTCGGGGCCCACGGGAGTCGGGTCGGGATTTTCGACGAAGAATAAAAAACCCTTACAACATACTCCCAAATGGTCAAAAAAATACTCCAACAAAAAGTCCCCAAACTAGTTTTTTTGACTATTTTTGAATCTGCCCCCTGTAGAGGGACAGGCCCGACTTAAGCCTATGTGGGGGTGGACGCCATGAAAAGCACACACGTGACCCCTTCCCTCTCGGGCCGGGCGAAAGGGGGGGATAGCAAAGGGGGGGTTTGAGACTCAGCTCACGCGGCTGATCTTGCTGGCGCCTCCCGGCGCCGGAGGCGGCCGTGTATCGAGGAATGGGCCCCTCGGTGGGGCCGAAGACAGCTGCATGCAGCAGATTTCGTAACCCCCTCCTTTCCCAATCCCCCCCTTTCGTCCGGCCTGAACCACGGACCCCTCGTGACCCATTCCGGGGTCCACCAAAGGAGGGAGGACCCTGAGGGGGGGGGAGTTCGATCCGCTGGTGCATCGAATTTCCGAACAACGATGCCCCCCCACGCGCCCCGATTGTCGAGACTTCTCGGGTTCCGGCGGCGGCCAGAGGCCTCGTGTTGCATGGTTGTTCTGCGGTTTGATGCGCCAACGGACCGAACTCCGCCCCCCCTGTGGCACCCCCCTCCTCTGCGAGGTCCCGACCGTTGCCCCCCGGCCGTCGTCGGCGGTCTTCGGCGGTCTTCGGGCGGTCTTCGGCGGTCTTCAGACGGTCTCCGGCGGCCTTTGGCGGTTCCCAGAGGTCTTCGGCGCGAGAGCTCGATGGTTGCGTTCAGCAAGGGGTCCATCATCGAACACCTACAGGGCAGCTTTTAATACATAGGATTTTTTTGTTTTAAACATGGGATTTTGAATACATGATTAATATATGAATAAATGAATGCATGGACTCCTCGATGTTTTCCCTACCTAGGCTCTGCCTAGAAGGGTTCTTACTCGGTAAGCTTAAAGGGCCGGGCAGTGGGGCCCGCCCCGGGCGGTTCCCCCAGTATCCGCCCCGCGGTTCCTCCAGTGACGTTCCCTTAGCTTCGAGTTGCTTATCTCATCTGAGTTTAGCTTATTTCATCTTGCCTTAGCTTACCTTCATCTTACCTCAGTTTTATCTTAGCTTAGCTTACCTTCATCGTAGCTTCGCTGAGCTTTAGCATAGCAGAGCACAGCATAGCACAGTACAGCGCAGCACAGCATGTCATAGCATAGCCCAGCATAGCATAGCATAGCGCAGCATAGCACAGCATAGCTTAGCATAGCGCAGCACAGCACAGCACAGCATAGCACAGCATAGCGCAGCATAGCATAGCATAGCATAGCATAGCAAAGCGCAGCATAACATGGCATAGCATAGCATAGCATAGCATAGCAACTGATGCTTCTTTCCTAGGGGCTCCAACTTCTAGGTAGGGTCGCACTGGGGTAACTTAATACTTAATCCCTGCATGTTTAATACATGATCCGCACGCGGAAGGAGGAAGGAGGGCTGCCCTCGACGCCCAACTCCCGCGAAAGCTGGTCCCCGCGGAGGCCGCGGGGAAGCCGCCGAATTCCGAGAACTCCACCCCGGGGCCCCCCTGCCTGGAGGACGCGCGCCAGCCCCCGAGATACTGGCGGCTCCATTTTCTCGTTAGGTCGGGCCTGTCCCCCCTACAAGAGGATTTTGGACGAAAAATAACAACATATACCCCCAAAGGCCCCAAAATATTCCAAAATGGTGTCTGAAAAAACCATCCCTAGACTATTTTTTAACTATGTTTGAATATTCCTCCTGTAGAGGGACAGGCCCGACTTAATTTTCTCCAGCCGGGCGTGCTCGCCTGCTTCCGGGCCCTGGGGCCCTTACATATCGACTCGAAACATGACGCAGAAAGACGGGGTTTAGGACTCTGGGCGTGACATGTTTGTTTACAATGTTGCATGTTACCGCTACGCCGGATCTCAGGGGCAAGCAAGGGGGGAGTGAGAAGGAGAAGGCCCTCTCAGAAGGCGGCGGGGCTTCTCAGAAGCCCCCGGGCCGTCTGAGAAGTCTTTTGCGCCCTGGGAAAGGCTTAGAAAACTTATCAGAAGGCGGGGGGACTTCCGAGCCTTCTGAAGAAGGTCCGCGTCCTCTCCCTTCCCCTCCAGGCGCGCCGCCGAGACGCCCAAAGTATACACCAGCACCGATCCTGGCCAGGCCAATCGCTGGACCAGGACTGGGGTGAAGGCCTTCCTGGCCAAGCCATGGGGCCGCAACATCGATGCTGCATGTGGCCCAGGGTGGGCAGGCCTGACCAGGGCCGGCGTTCGTGTACAGTTGGTGTCCTCCTGTGCCTGCGGCGTCGCAGGGAGAGGGTGAAGCTGCAGCCCGTGCTAGGAAGGGAAGGAGTATTTGAACAAGGCTGGCCGCGAGATGAGAAAAGGACGCAGTGTCGACCCCCTTGTGGGGGAATGTTAGAGGGAAGTCGGACACAGGCGAACCAGTGCGCTCTGAACGTGGGACTACAGACATGAGGCGATAGTGTGTGATGCACGCTAGGTGGTGAAAATCAATTGTGGTGCAAGCAATGTGGTGCCCGCTCCTCATCCCCATTCGTGCCCCCCCCTCCCTATTCTCCCCCCCTATCTTCCTGGTCCCTGAAGTCTCACAGGCCACAAATCCCCAGAGGCCTCCGCGATGCTGGATCTTTGATCCTCGAACATCCTCCATCCTCGCTCCCCTCGCTCGTCATACTTGCGCATTATCCTGGTCCTCCTCCGCCCCCTGCTCCTCCTCCTCCTCCTCCTCCTCCTCCTCCTCCTCCTCCTCCTCATCATCATCATCATCATCATCATCATCATCATCATCATCATCATCCTTCTCCCTCTCCTCCTCCTCATCCTTCTCCTCCTTCTCCTCCTACTCCTGCTCGACCCAGAGATGGCTAAGCTGCTCAGGATCGCAGCCGAGCGCGGCCTGGTCATCAAAAGGGGAGGCGAGCTGTACATCAAGGAGAGGAGCGCATGCAATTCGACGGGGTCGAGTGGCACAGGCGCGTAAACTTCTCGAATGTGTACGTGAAGCAGTTTTGGGAATACCTCAAGGTTCGGGGGCTCGTCGAGTGTCGCCACTCGGGGAAGCCCTTAGGCATGTAGGGCCTTCAGGGGTCCCTTCCCTCGCACGTGCTCCTTGGGCTCCTGGGTTCTGGGGTGCGTGTGGAGGTGGGGTGGCCTCGGTGGCCTGGGCGGCCTGCGGGCCTCGTCGGCCCTTTTGGGCTTCCGCCGCTGCCCAAGGAGTACCCCGGGGGGGTTGAGAGTCCTTCGGGGTGGGGCGCCGGCGCGCGGCATGCGCCGAGGAGCGCGGAATCGACGCGCGCTCGCGTTGTCATTACCCTCATTACACCCTCCTCCTCCTCCTCCTCCTCCTCCTCCTCCTCCTCCTCCTCCTCCTGCTCTCCTCCTCCTCCTCCTCCTCCTCCTCCTCCTCCTCTCTCCTCCTCCTACCCTCCTCCTCCTGCTCCTCCTCCTCCTCCTCCCTCCTCCTCCCATCTCCTCCTCCCCCTCCTCCTCCTCCTCCTCCTCCTCCTCCTCCTCCCACCTCTCTTCCCCTCCTTCCCCCTCCTCCCCTCCTCCTGCTCCTCCTCTCCTCCTCCCTTCCCCTGCGCCTCCTCTCCTCCTCCTCCCCCTCTCCTCCTCCCCTCCTCCTCTCCTCCTCCTCCTCCTCTCTCCATCCTCCTCTCTCCTCCTCCTCCTCCGCCATCCTGCTCCCTCCCCCTCCTCCCCCTCTTCCTGCTCCTCCCCTCCTCCTCCTCCTCCTCCTCCTCCTCCTCCTGCTCCTCCTCCTCCCCTCTCTCCATCCTCCTCCTCCTCCTCCTCCTCCTCCTCCTCCTCCTCCTCCTCCTCCCTCCTCCCCCTCCTCCTCCTCCTACCTCCTCCTCTCTCTCCTCCTCCTCCTCCTCCTCCTCCTCCTCCTCCTCCTCCCCCTCCCTTCCGTCCTCCCGGAGGGCGCAGCGGCCGTGCGGAGGCCGTGCAGGGGCCGTGCAGCGGGGGGGGGGGCGCCCGCGGAGCGCCGAGGCTCGCGCTCAGCAGCCCGCCCGGAGCAGCTGGAGGTACTCCTGCTGCATGCCGCGGACGTCCTTCGCTGGGATGCACAAAGACGTACTAGTACTATATGTCATCCTTGGACGCGCGCGTCCGACCCGAACATATAGTATACCCATCTTGTAGTATATCGTTTCCCGAGCGGTGTGGCCAGAATGCGCCCGCCACAACGCATATACTATAAGATTCCTCGGTGCGCGCATCGCCCCCGGGGGGGCGACGCACATATAGTATAAGTATGTTGGGGTGACGCCGATTCGCTACGAGGCCGATGTGGCATCACAGCAGCAATTCGGCCCCTGACTTTCGCCCCGGGCTTGGTTTAGTGAAGTGAACAATTTCGAGGTCCTTGCGTGGGAAAACACGTCACTTCACTAATCTGGGGCTCCTGGGGCCTCAGTGTGCCCTGGGGCCCAAAATTAGTGAAGTGATGGTTTTCGGGCCTCGTGTTCGCGGGGAACTTTGAGGAAGTCGCCACAAGTGGGGAGACACAACAAACAGATCCCCTATACTTTCCTATAGTTTCTGGCCTTTCTTGTCTTCCCGCCCAAGTCCCATAGTTTCCCATATTTTCTCGGGGGCCTACGATTCATAGTGTCTGTGTTTTTTCTCCTAAACGTCGGGGGACAAACAAAAAGGTACCCACACCGCTTCGGCGGTGGACAAACCTCCCTCTGGCAAACCTCCCTTTGATGAAAGCGGCCTGGGGCCGAACCCAACGGACCTGGACCCGCACAATAATGACGGCCACGACGCCCTCTCGCGAGCCGAAAACGGCCAATTTGCTAATCGACGTGTCGTCAGGGCAGGAGGTCCGTCCACCTCCGGCCGCTACTCTTAGACGAAGGCAGAATCGAGACAGCATCGGGCCGATACAACTCGAAGTATTTGAGCAACGGCGAGCTTGGAGGATGTAGCAGGCGCCGCGGGCGTTTCAGAGTGTTCCAGAACGCTATGAGAGCGTTCTGGAACGCTCTAGAACAGATTTGTCTCGGTTCTGGGACCGTCCGAAAACCAGCGGGAAACTTGGAGGAAGTCACCACAAGTGGGGAGACACACAAAAAGCTGCAAGAATATGCCCATACCAATACAATCGAGTTCGATCGAAGAGGACATGCCAGAGGACACAAGAGCCTTCCGACGGCAGGGTTGCCACAAGAATGCGGAGGCATGGGCCGCGAAACACCGGATTCTAGGAAAGAGGAGGAGGAGGAGGAGGAGGAGGAGGAGGAGGAGGAGGAGGAGGAGGAGGAGGGGAGGAGGAGGAGGAGGAAGGAGGAGGAGGAGGAGGAGGAGGAGGAGGAGGAGGAGGAGGAGGAGGAGGAGGAGGAGGAGGAGGAGGAGGAGGAGGAGGAGGAGGAGCACGAGGAGGAGGAGCTTATCTGACAGGGTCGACCTGCTAGAAGCAAAATCGACGGTGCTCCCCGGATCTCGCCCAGGGTGTGTTCTGACCAGACGTTCAAAACAGAAGCCAGCCCTGGCGACGAGGAAAGGTTTTCATGACTTTTGGTCGGTTGAAAACTTTGTTCTCGAAATTCAACAATTCGTTTGAGCTCTAGTATTTTTCCCGTGATATTCGATCTTATTCCCGCTCGCCGTCTTGATCTCAGCTCGATCGGGTACCTTTTACTGCCAAAAAGCACTCCGGCGGGTAACAGTACGCATCGGCATCGCTCCTGAGTATCGTTTAACCGATCCCCATCCCCAGCGGCGTGGCCTGGGCCCCATTGGCCGATTTACCCCCCTAGATGGGGGTACAGGCCGTTCCCTTCGGGTTTCGAGGGGTGTATCCCCAACTGGGGTGGTAATTTGGTGGGGGTCTCGAAGGGGATGGGGATGGGGATGGGGATGGCACGTCGGGCTTCCACTGGGATCGCCCGCCGCGCCGAGAAAGGCAGGCCCGCCGCGGGGGCTCTTGCCAGCGACGAAAGATCGAGCGGCAAAACGCAAGGACAACCCTGGAGACGAGAGCGCCGCCACGCACCGAAGAGACGGCAAAAGTACACGCCGCATCAGGGCCCGCAGAAGCCCTGGCGCCGCGGCTAGATCTCTTCGCCCGACCTCCAACCCTGCCGCGATGGCGACGCTCGCGCGGGAGCAAAAACTGCGGCCCCCTCATTATCTCAGGAGTCGTGCTGCCTCTGCCCTTGCCGTGGCTCCACGAATGGAGCTCTCTCTTGGCCTCGACTACTTAACGACCCGCAGATGATAATGCAACGCCCGACCGCCCGACCAGAAGTGCAGCGCGCGCAAGACATGACGGCGCGCGACCGAGCGAAGCGACGCAAGCAAGCGTCTGTAAGGCCTCCGCCAAGCACGGCCGTTACCAACGGCGCCGCCGCGTGCCATCGAATGACGCACGCGCGCCCCATAGTATCCAGACGCTCGCCGCGGCCCAACTACCCTAGGCGCAAGTGCTCGCCCGCGCTAGCGGTGGCTCGGCAGCGAGGCTTGCGCCCCGCGCGACCCCGCTGCGCTGTGCCGCGCCAATTTACAAGAAAAGAATGTCGATGGGCGACGCTGCAGCGGCCGTGGCATGCTGAACACGCCGCGGGACCATCCCGCCTTGGCGATGCAGCGCAGCGCCCTGCTCGAGAGTGAGAGCATAGTCAGTCCCAACTTCTGCACCCATAAATCAAGGGGCCCCAGGACACACAAATAAATTCACACAAATAAAATAATTCCCCATATTTTCCCATATTTTCTGGGTTTTTTGTCTTCCCGCCCAATTCCCATATTTTCCCATATTTTCTGGGGGATCGACGATTCATTGTGTCTGTGTGTTTTTTCTCCTCCTGAATAAAGCGCGATTGCGTGCCGGCGTGCAGCCGGGGGGCCATGGGCGCCGCGGGCGACGCGCGGCACCTTGGAGCGATACGAGCCCGAGAGAACCATTCGCGACAAGCCCAGCCGCACGAAGCAACGATTTCGCGCAGCCGCCTTCGGCGCGCGCGGAAGACGCCAGCCCCGCGCCGCGGACAGGCGGCGGGCTGACCCAACTCGCGTGCGCGCCACCGCTGCTCAGCGCGGTCGGGCAGAGACATTGCCGCGGCCGGCGCCGCGGCGAGCTTCGCGCAACGCGGGACCACCCAGGAGGACTTGTGATGGATGAGTGCCAGACGTGCGGCGGGCCTCCGTAGAATCCCCTGCGAAGGCGCAACTGTCGGCCGCCGCCTTCCTTCGGCGCGGTCGGGGGCGCCGCCGCCGGCCGTGCGGCTCCGCCGCCGCGCGCGGGCGCTGCTGGCCCGCCGTTTCAGGCCGCGGTCGCGCGCCCCCCGCCACCCCTGCGCACTGCTAAGTAGGTCGGCAACGTCGCGCTCGTTCAGCGCCCCCTTCGCCCGATGCGAGCGCTCCCCATCCAGCAGAACTTCGGCGCGGCGCACCGCCCGTCTCGCCCGAGGCCGCCGCGCCCGCGCGCGCGGCGCCGTCGAAGTGACCTCGCAGATTCCAGCGGCGCTTGAAGTCGCGCCGCTCGCCTCGGCGTCGCCCGAGCCCGCGGGGCCCCGGGGCCCGCGCGCGAACGCGCGCGCGCTCCGGGGCACGCGCCGCGGCGGCGACGCGCGCCTCCTCGCCAGAATGGCTCGAGCCAGAATGTCAACAGAAGAAGTCAGAATGCGACTGGGTTCTGGGGGGTCCTGGGAGAAAGGCCGCCCTGTCCGGGGAGGGGGTCTGGAACTGCTCGCCCGGGAGGGGCGCGACTCCCCCCCCCCTTTCCGGTTTCATGAAATCCGGAGCAATGAAACAAATTGTTCCCTCAACCAGATTTCGGGCGACCCGCCCGCGCGCGGGTCAGGCGTGGGACGCGCCGCTGCGCGGGAGCCTTCGGGGCGCGCGCACAATGCGGGAAACGCATTGGTCGGGCATGCACTGCCTCATGTTGAATGTCGGACCGCGCGTGAAACACTTGCCAGATTTCGCCTGCCCCACCCGCGCGCGGGCCACCTGTGCGACGCGCGCGGAACAATTCGACTGTTTCGATGGACTTGCACCATCATGCAGAAGCTTAAAGAACACGTGCAACAGATGGCTTGCATGGGCCAAATTTCAGGCGACCCGCCGGGGGAGCGGGGCTTTCTGGACAGATGACGGCGCATCTGGGTTGGGCCCGCGCGGGCGGGGCGCGCTTCTAGATGCAACGGCCCAAACGGCGCTGTATTTGCTGCTCGGGCAGGGCGCTCTCGACGCCGCGCCAGGTTCTGCAGGTTTGGTTTCGGGCAACGCCCTCGTCCTGGTGCTTCGATGAGCGCGTTGTTCTCGCGCGTGGCCCGAATCTGTTTCTCGCGCAATAAACTGACTGAGCTGAAAGGCGCGAAACTGAGCTGAACTAGCTGACTGGTTGCACCCGTTATGCGACGGCTGCTTTCTCGGCTGCCGAGGGCGCAACCTATGGCGAAACCGATAGGGGGCGGCTCTATTCTCGGCCGAGGGCGCAACCTTTGGCGCACCCATTGCGCGACTGCTGTATTCTCGGCCGCCGAGGGCGCAACCCATGGCGCAACCGATGGGAAGCGGCTTCTTTCTCGGCCGGCGAGGGCGCAACCTATGGCGCAACCGATAAGAAACGTTTGCATTCTCGGCCGCCAAGGACGCAACCTATGGCGCAACCGATAGGAGGCGGTTTTATTCTCGGCCGCCGAAGGCGCAACCTATGGCACAACCGATAAGAGACTTTCAAATTCTCGGCCGCCGAGGGCGCAACCTATGGGGCAACCGAAAGGAGACGGTTTTATTCTCGGCAGCCGAGGGCGCAACCTGTGGCGCAACCGATCGGAGACGGTTTTATTATCAGCCGCCAAACCCAGAGAAGAAACTATGGGGGTCATGCGACGCATCGAGCAGGCAAAGCATCCACGACACGTTGTATCTTCCATCAACACGCAACTGCACCATCGCAGATTTCAGCGCTGAGTTGTACTCGCACTTGGTTTGTTTGGTGGCTAATATGTGCGAATCTCAGTTGCCACGGCCGTTCTCTCAACTATTTATGCACATTCGACCCAGAACACAATTCACGCGCTCCGCGTTGTTCTCGCGTCCGCGTCGCGTCGGCAGACCTCGGGCTCGTGCGTTTCATGTCGCAGTCCTGTAGCGTCAATATGTATATTCGGCTACACGCAAGAGTGACCCTCGGTAAGAGTGACCTTTGGTGCGCGGCTTCTTGGGGGCCGCGGGGGGCCAAACCTGGGCGCGCCACCAGGTGCCACTGCTTCGTTTTCAACCATCTGGGGACTCATCTGTGCCCGCACCAAAGGTCACTCCGGCGAAAGGTCACTCTTAGGGCGACGACATCTATACATATCCACTGCTCCCTGGCGAGGCCCATCCTGAACCCAGCAGCTGTGTATACGCTGCGCCTTCCTGGCGTGGCCAGGAAGGCGTATGCACAACTCCTGGGTTCAGGATGGGCCTGGCCAGGAAGCAGTGGATATATACATATATATATATATAGATTTCGTCGCCCGAACTCTTTACGTCTAGTCGAACTGTTTCTCGCCACGCCGCGCTGCCCACTCCCGTGCAGCATCCGGTCAGCGAGGCGCCCTGCGCCTCGCTGCGCTTCGACCGCCCCCGGGGCTTCCCGCTTCGGGCGCGACCCGCGCCCACTTCGCCACGGACGCCCCCGCGCTTCCGGCCGCTTGAGGATATCGCGGCGGCGAGTCCGCAAAAGCTGCGGCTCCTTCCTGGAGCACGAACTCCGTCTCTCAACGCTGCGTTCGCGGCGCCTTGCATACGCCTGCTCTGCGCACGCACGTGCGCGAGACAGCGGGAGCGCCCAGTCGCCTTCGAGCGGAGCGCGGGTTCGGCCCAGCAGAATACGCCAAACTGGCAATCTGACACGCCAGGCAAGGCCTAAAATAGGGGGACAAAAAGTGACATAAACATAAAAAAGCTCGAAGGTCCGCGCAGATTTCTCGGATCGGCGCTGGGGCCCCCTCCCTGGCGCGCTCCACGCGCCAGGGGCGGCGCCGGAGGCGCCGCCGAGGGGCCCCAGCGCCGATCCGAGAAATCCGCGCGGACCTCCTAGCTTTTATGTTTATGCCACTTTTTGTTCCCATGTAAAAGGGCACTCGTCTGCCCTATCCTCCTTCCGCCCTCTTCTCCTTCCTTCTCTCATCGACGTAAAGTCCCCTGGCCCCCTACGACGCCCTCCGCTGGCCTGGGTGGTCCACTCTTGCCGCGGGGGGTTGTAGGGGGGGGGGGGGGCGGATTTTCTTTTCCCAGACAGCTTGCACCTCGTCGCCACTGGGGTGGGTGCACCGCTCCTGCGGATGGGCACACACACACACACCCTCCAGGATCTCCCGACCCCATCCTGCGTCCTTTTCCGTCTTTTCCCTCCCCCCCCACTCGCATCCCATTGCCTTCGGCATGTCTGCCATCGGCCGCTCTGCTGGGGCACATTGGCACAAAGGGATCTGGCGAGTTTCGCACCAATCGTCCTTTCTACGATGCCGACGGCGCAAACTGTGGCGCGGTCCCAGACGAGGACTGCGAGGAGGACCTGGAGCAGGATGGAGACGAGGAAGACGAGGAGGATAAGGAGGACGACGAGGAGGACGACGACGATCAGGATGGGGAGGAGGACCGAGAGGAGTACGAGCAGTACCAGGGCGAAATGTGGGCATTCGAATGCGCGCGGGTCTACGCCCGACTTATGCTCGCCGTTTGGGCTGGCGGTGGGGCCGAAGCGGCGAGCTGACTTGTGAATTTTCGTGTGCGTGCCAGCCGTCTGCGTGTTTCAGTTCAGCGGCTCGGAGGGGTTGGCCACGGCCGCGGCCGAATCTCTGTGTGTTGTCTTCTGGGCCGCCAGGCTGTACTCGACGTATTTCGGCGAGGGTCGCCCCACGTTGGCAACGCCGTCGCCCTCGTTTTACGAGCTTTCGGCGCAGGTCCAAGCCAAGGGCAGCGAGGAGAGGAGAGGGGGGGAAGCAGAGGGGAGGAGGGGTACAGGAAGTGGAGGGAGGATGGATGGGGATGCAGCAGATGAGGGGAGAGGGCGGAGGAGGGATGAGACGGGGGGGAGGGAGGAAACAGCGGAGAATGGAGGAGCCAGAGCAGAAAATGAGCATATAATAACGAGCAGGAGGAGGACAATGCGGAGAAGCAGGTGGAGAGGGATGGCACGAGGAGGCGGGCGCGGGGAAGTGCGAAGAAAAGGATTACTACGGATGTAAAGGAGGAGGAGGAGGAGGAGGAGGAAAAGAAAAGAAAAAGGAGGAGGGAACGGACCATGGAAGAGCAGGGGGACAAAAGGGGGGGGGGGAGGAGGAGGGAGGAGGCGGGGATGACGAGGAGTGCGCGCGGGAAGCGCGGCAAAAAACAACGAAAGCGGCGGCGGCGAACGACGCCGTCCTTCAGGGCCGCCAGCGAGCGGGCGAGCGACGCCACCTCCGCCTGCCGTGGTCGGCTGGCGGCCCGGAATCCGCCCGCGAACGCCCCCCATGGCCCAAGCAGAAACCCATCGCTACTTAATGCGGGATGACGATTAATAAAAAATGGGGGAGAACGATTCAAAAACTGGTTTCCTGCTATTTCTGCACGATTTTCTGACTGGAGGAGAACGATTAACAAAAATAGTTTTCCGGCCCGCGGCCGGTTCTTTTTAATCGTCATCCCGGGCGGCGCCGCGTGAACACGACCCCCGGTCATTTATTAACCGTCATCCTCCATTACTCGCGGCAACGCCCGTTGAGTCGACTGGGGGATTGACTACAAAACTGATGTGCCCCAACAAGGGTCGTCTCGTCAAAGTTGCGCAAAATCAAGCGTACTGCTCGTAGATCTACGAAGCAGCCTGAGCACTTTTCGCATGCAGTGGGGGCCAGGTCCACGAGAAACCTCCCACAAGAAGCCCAACCCTGAGACCCCAGGACGTCCACTGATTTGTTGTGGGGGGCACGGCACGCCTTCCACAGCAAAACCATCGAAACCCAAGAAACACATGGCACCCCGGAGGCAAGCAGGGTGTTCCTTGACATGGGCCCCCGCTGCATTTGACGAAGACAGCATGTCAAGGAGTAAACCAATGCTGTAGTCGATCCCCTGGTCGAACGAGGGGGGCCTCGAGGACTCGGGGCGTCCTGGGCGTGCGTTTGGGCACCTGCAGGACACCGCTGGGGCCTCTGGGCATTGGCGGTGCCCTGGCCCAGACTTACGTCGGGCGTGTCACTGCACATTTTGAAGAGACAGCACCCCGCGTCACACTCCTCCTCCTCCTCTCCTCCTCCCTCCTCCCTCCTCCCTCCTCCTCCTCCTCCTCCTCCTCCTCCTCCTCCTCCTCCTCCTCCTCCTCCTCCTCCTCCTCCTCCTCCTCCTCCTCCCCCTCCCCCTCCTCCCCTCCTCCTTCCTCCCTGCGTTTCACCCACCCAGTACAACGTCTCATGGCCCGATAGGGAGCTCCACCGAAGCACCGCCCGCATGCGTCACCCACACCAATTCCAGGACACCCCTCACACGTTTCGTGGCCCCATAGAGAGCCCCACCGAAGGCCACAGTGCCACCGCCCGCACACGTCACCCACACCCATGTTGGCATGCCCCTCACGCGCTTCGTGGTCCCATAGGGAGCTCCACCGAAAGCTTCAGTGCCACCGCCCGCATGCGTCACCCACACCGATTTCGGCACGCCCCTCACACGCTTCATGGTCCCATAGAGAGCCCCACCGAATTCCCAACTGCCACCGCCCGCATGCGTCTCCCACGCCCATTCCAGCACTCCCCTCACACGCTTCGTGGCCCATAGGGAGCTCCACCGAGGGCCACAATGCCACCGCCCGCACGCGTCACCCACTCCCATTTCGGCACTCCCCTTACACGGTTCGTGGCCCCATGGGGAGCTCCACCGAATGCTCCAGTGCCAGCGCCTACATGCGTCACCCACACCAATTTCGGCACACCCCTCACACGCGTCGTGGCCCCATAGGGAGCTCCACCGAATGCCCCAGTACCACCGCCCGCATGCGTCACCCACACCCAGTTCGGCACACCCTCACACGCTTCGTGGCCCCATAGTAAGCTCCACCGAAGGCAACATTGCCACCGCCCGCATGCGTCACCCACACCGATTTCGGCACACCCCTCACACGGTTCGTGGCCCCATAGGGAGCTCCACCGAATGCCCCAGTGCCACCGCCCGCATGCGTCACCCACGCCCATTCCGGCACACCCCTCACACGTTTCGTCGCCCCATAGGGAGCTCCACCGAAGGCGCCAAGGCCACTGCCCGCATGCGTCACCCACACCAATTTCCGACACACCCCTCACACGTTTCGTGGCCCCATAGAAAGCTCCACAGAAAGCTCTGGTGCCACCGCCCGCTTGCGTCACCCACGCACAACCCGGCACACCCCTCGCGCGCTTCGTGGCCCAATTGGGAGCTCCACCGAAGGCGCCAGTGGCTGCGTTCGACCGCGCCCACCGCACCCATTTCGGCACACCCCTCACACGTTTCGCGGGCCCATCGGGAGCTCCACCGACGGGCCAGTGGCTGCTTTTGCATGCGCCCTCCGCACCTATTTCGGGACACCTCTCACGCGTTCCGTGGCCCCATAGGGAATTCCACCAACGGACCCAGTGGCTGCTTTCGCATGCGCCCACCAAACAAATTCTGACACACCCCTCACATGTTTCGTGGCCCTATAGAGAGCTCCTCCGAATGCGGTGCGTACAACGACGGTGCTCACAACTGCATATGGTTGGGCCCTTCGCCGTGCTAATGTTTGGATGTTTGTATATTTGTTTGTGTATGTTTGATTTGTCGTCCAAAATCCGCCTGTAGCGGGACCTGCCCGACCTGAGCCCAAACCTCCGCCGCCCAATGTGCTTCGGCCCGTGTGGCTCCCGGGCTTCCGGCCCCAGCCCTCGCAGAGACTTCTGGCCGTGGGCCGATCGCTTCAAGGGGGGGGGGGCTGCGGGAGGGCAGGATGGCAGACGGCAGGGCAGAGAGTCAGCTCACGCAGCTGGTCTGCCTGGCGCCTCCTGGCGCTGGGAGGCGCCCAGAGATCGAGGGATGAGGCCCGGCGGGGCCGAAACCAACTGCATGCATTTGGTCGGGCATGCCCCCCTACAAGCGGATTCTGGACTAAAACTCAAAAATACCCTGAACAGATTCAACAGTAGTCAAAAGATGTCCCCAGACTATGTTCTGATCCTGTAGAAGTACACGCCCGACTTCATGCATGCAGCAAATGTCGTCCCCCTCACTTTCCCTACCCGTTTGTCTGGCCTGATTGCTGTGGGCCTCGGGTCTCGGAGCTGGAGTCCTGGAGCCCAGGCGCACAAGGCACAGTGAGGACCAGCACGGCTACAGGGATGAGCCATGAGCCATCAGGCTGCAGGGCCCTCGGACGTCCATGCCAAACAGCTGCAGCAACACAATGCCAACACCTTTATGATCGATGGCCAAGAGGGGGCCCGAGGACTCAGGATGCAAGGGCGGGCTTGATGAACTGCGGCATCCTTGCTGGAGGCTTTGAGTGCAGCTAAAACGCGCAGCGTGTTTGCGATGTCGGCGGACGCGAAACCATGTGTAAAATGACGTGGGAGGGGGCGCCTGTCCCAGGGCGGCCCAGCAATTAATGCCCCCGCGCCTCCCTGGGGGAAATTGAGATTGCCACGCCGAGAATGGGTATAGAGCGAAATGGGCACGATGACCAGCAGCAAAGGTTCTCCAAAACCGACAGGCGCCGCTGCTGGGCAGGCGGCCTTGTGCATCAATCGGACAACGTCCGCGGCGACACCGACGGCGAGTCCTGCTCTGACGAACGAACAACACACACACCTCCTCCTCCTCCTCCTCCTCCTCCTCCTCCTCCTCCTCCCTCCTCCCTCCTCCCTCCTCCCTCCTCCCTCCTCCCTCCTCCCTCCTCCCTCCTCCCTCCCCTCCTCCCTCCTCCCTGCTCCCTGCTCCCTGCTCCCTCCTCCTCCTCATCCTCCTCTTCGTCCTCCTCCTCCTCCTCCTCCTCCTCCTCCTCCTCCTCCTCCTCCTCCTCCTACCAACCTCCCGACCCGAATGCGCACAGGCCAGGCGCTCGCCCGAGAACCTGCCTCGACGCCTGGAGGTCTGGGCACTTCCGGGCGGCCGGGCGCGCCCACGGCCCGCCTGTAGCGCCTGCCAGCGGTCGTCGGGCGCTTCCTCCTCGCGCGGCGGCGGAGCAAGGCGAGGAGGAGGGGGAGCAGGAGGAGAGGAGGAGGAGGAGGAGGAGGAGGAGGAGGAGGAGGAGGAGGAGGAGGAGCACGAGGAGAGGGAGAAGGAGGCTGACGACGGCGACGAGGACGAGGACGAGGACGACGAGGCCGAGGACAAGGACGATGACAACGACGGCGGTGTCGACGAGGACGAGGACAAACACGACGACCGGCGGTCGTCTGGCCCCTGCTCGTGCGGGGGAGGAGGACGAAGAGAACGATGACGACGGCACATCACTGGCTGTCGTCAGGCCCTTCCTCGGGCGGAGGGGGCAGAAGACGAGGACGACGATTGGCATGAAGGAAACAGGTCCTGAGGAACACGCGTCCTGAGATGTTTGGCTGTTTTCGGTATCCAGGGGGCCTCCCCGGGCCCCTGGACTGCCCTGTCAATAAGCAAGTCAGGATGAACAACTGGTCCCAGGAGAAGACCCCTGGGGTCCAGCTGGGACAATCTTCCCTGGGCCCGTTTCCTTCATGCCAAGACGGCGACGCAGAAGACCACTCCGCCACCTAAGAATCGACGCCAGCAAACCTTAGCTGCCCCGATACGCAAGAAGCAACACATAGCGCATTGATACGGAGCTCAGTACGTAGACCGAACACGTTGCTCTGACGAGGTACTCTCGCCAAAACGTGGGCCAGTCACTGAGCCACCACGCAACGCATTGACACGGATGTTTGGCGCACGGCACGTGTTGCGTATCACAACGGGCGCATCGCGGCAGCTAGGCCCCGGACCTGCAACGAACCGCGCCCTGACCAGGACCCCAAAGCCAATCTGACCGTGGCGGCGAGGGCCCTATGAGCCCCCCCCCAGATCGGATGCTGCCAAGGGCGACCCTGGCCCAACGTGCCCCCCGCTTGCCCCCAAGGGCCTCCAGAACATTCCTCGCAAGGCCGAGGGGGCCCCGCGGGTTCCAAGATGGTGCGTCGGGCTGGGGGGCAACTTGGGCCAGGGCCACAGCTGGCAACCAGGGACACAAGCTGACAGCCTGAGAGCAACTCTGGACGACGACGACGCCGCCCGCAGTCGCCTGGGCCCTCCTGGCGGCATGTGCAAACCGGGCCATTGGGGAAACGGGTCCTCCCGGTGATGCAGGCACTCTCGACCCATTTCCAGATTGGTCTGGCTCGAAACACGGCGCAGGAAGATTGGGTCCAGGGGCCCAGAGTGGTGACATCTGCGATGCTGCAAGTTCCCCCAGCGTCAAGCCTGAGGGCCTTCCCAGGGAGCCGCTTCCCATCCCGAGCCGTCCCTTGACGGTCCTGGGGCCCCAGCGGGGGCCCCCAGACGCCGACGCGACGAACCGAACCCGGCTGTCGGCACGCTGGGCTACCAGCCTGCAGCGTGCCCTTGGCCCTGTGATTGGCATCACCTCTGCTCGATGCCGATCCGAAAGGTCCCCTCCAGCTCCGAGGAGGCATCCTTGAGACTGGCATCGCCTCTTGGCCTGTCGACCTCAGGGGCAGGGAGAATTGAGCTCAAGGCCGGCCATTGGAGGTCCGGGGCCTCGACGCCCCCACGGCGCCCGCGCCCGGGCCCACGCGCGTCGCTGACGCCCTCTCCCTGCGGCCGCGGCCCCCCTCCCAGAGGAGAAGGAGGAGGAGGAGGAGGAGGAAAGAAGAAGGAGGAGAATGAGGAGGAGGAGGAGGAGGAGGAAACGGAGGAGGAAACGGAGGAGGAGGAGTCCCTGAGGTCCCGACCCCTTCCACCGGCCCACCTTCGTGAACGTTATCCTTCGGACAGCCGCACATGACCAGTCGACCAACGCAGGCGTGCACGCGAGCGGAGCTGAGACGCCCAGCCACACCGACGGGCTGCCCTGCGAGAGCTGGCGATCCGAAATGGCCACTCTCACATTCCGTCCGTGGCCAACGACAGCGGATGCACAGTGAGCTCCAAGACCTGCAGTGGCCCTGGACTCCAAACACTGCAGTGGCCCCCTTATTCGGCGTTTCGACATTGGGTGGAAGGGGGGGCCTCGCCATCGCTCGGGCGTCCCTTCCCTGTGCACTTTTCGGTTTCGTGCGTGTTTTGTTGGCCCGATGGTCGAGGATGCTTCTCGATGGCCCCAGCCGAAACAAAATGCACACGTCCGAGCGACGCCAAGGGGTAGGGTCTGGCTCCGGACATCTGCTCGGTGCGACTGCTTGCAAGGCTGCGTCCTGTGGGGGAACTCCACCTGCGTGGGACAGGCGCCAACAACAGCCAAGGTCTACTCTGTAGGAGGGGGGCGGAGGGTGCGAGGGCCCGCGCCGGTCGGCAAAACAATGAATGAGACAACTACCACCGTTTCGTCCCAAATCCATGTCTGATGGACCCGAGGACGGCCACCGGAGGCCGCAATCAAGGAGAAACGAGTGGGTTGAAAAAATGAGGATGATGAGGCTGAGGATGAGGAACAGGAGGAGGAGGAGGAGGAGGAGGAGGAGGAGGAGGAGGAGAGAAGTAGAAGGTGGGACGCGGGGCGCTGTCTCTTCAAACCGAGGACCCAACACCTCAGGATGGTTGGGAAAAATTGCCTGGCGAAGGACCCAACCCTATGCAGCTGTGAATGCCGTCGTTGCATGCACCGCATTCGAAGGAGCTCTGGGCGCATGCGAAAGCAGCCACTGAGGCCGTCGGTGCTCCCCACGGGGCCGCGAAACGTGTGAGGGGCGCGCCGAAATGGGTGCGGTGGGCGCGTGCGAACACAGCCATTGGCGCCTTCGGTGGAGCTCCGTAAAGGGCCACGAAACGTATGAGGGGTGTGCCGGAATGGGTGTGGGTCACGCATGCGGGCGGTGGCACTGTGGCCTTCGTTGTGTGAGTAGTGTGCGGACATGGGTGTGGGTTACGCATGCGAGCGGTGGCCCTGTGGCCTTCGGTGGAGCTCCGTATGGGGAAGCAAAACGTGTGAGGGGTGTGCCGAAATGGGCGTGGGTGACGCATGCGGGCGGTGGCACTGGGGACTTCGGTGGAGCTCCCTATAGGGCCACGAAACGTGTGAGGGGTATGCCGACATGGGTGTGGGTGACGCATGCGGGCGCTGGCTCTGGGGCCTTCTGTGGAGCTCCGCATGGGGCCACGAAACGTGTGAGGGGTGTGCCGACATGTGTGTGTGTGTGTGTGTGTGTGTGTGTGTGTGTGTGTGTGTGTGTGTGTGTGTGTGTGTGTGTGTGTGTGTGTCTGTGTGTGGCGCATGCGAGCGGCGGCCCTGTGGCCTTCGGTGGGGCTCCCTATGGGGCCACAAAGCGTGTGAGGGGTGTGCCGAAATGTGTGTGGGTGACGCATGCGGGCGGTGGCACTGGGGACTTCGCTTGACGTCTCTATGGGGCCACGAGACGTATAAGGAGTGTGCCGAAATGGGTGTGAGTGACGCAAACGGGCTGTGGCGCTGGGGCCTTCGGATGAGCTCCCTGTGGGGCCACGAAACATGTGAGGGGTGTGCCGAAATGGGTGTGGGTGACGCATGCGGGCTGTAGCACTGGGACCTTCGGTGGAGCTCCCTATGGGTCACGAACCGTGTGAGAGTTGTGCTGAAACGAGTGAAGACGATGACCATGATGAGAGGAGGAGGGGGCAGCGGGAGTGAGGTGACGCGGGGCGCTATCTCTCCGAAGCGAGGACCCAACACAACAAAATGGTTGAGAATCATATCCTTGCAGATCTGGGCGCACGGGGCCGATTCCGGAAACCCCGATACCGAAAATACGCTCGCATCTTGGGGTCCGCGGGCTTCCGCTGGCGGAGACTGCTTTGTTCTGTTTCTGCTGCCTTCCGCCAACCTTCCACCGCCTTCCGCCCAGGAAGAAACGGAAACTCCGTCGGTCCTCAAAGTAAGATTAAGTCGGATGCGAATTTTGCCGCTGAGGCCTTCGGCGGAGCTCCCTGTGGGGACACGAGCCGTGTGGGGCCACGAAACGCTGTACTGGGTGGGGGTGGCGCATGCGGGCAGTGCCACTGCGACCTTCGGTGGAGCTCCCTATGAGGCCCCGAGCCGCTGCACTGGGTGGATGTGACGCATGCGGGCGGTGCCACTGGGGCCTTCGGCGAAGCTTCCTATGGGGCCATGCATCGCCGTACTGGGTGGGGGTGACGCATGCGGCGATGCCATTGGGGCCTTCCGTGGAACTCCCTATGGGGCCACGAAGCGCTGTACTGGATGGAGGTGACGCATGTGGGCGGTACCGCTGGGACCTTCGGTGGAGCTCCTTCTGGGGCCACGAAGCGCTGCACTGGGTGCGGGTGACGCATGCAGGCGGTGCCACTGGGGCTTCCGGTGGAGCTCCACATGGCGCCACGAAGCGCTATACTGCGTGGGGGGAGACGCATGCGGGCTGTGCCATTGGGGCCTTCGATGGAGCTCACCATGGGGCCACGAGACGCTGCACTGGGTGAGGAACCGCATGCGAGCGCAGTCACTGGGACCCTCGGTGGAGCTCCCTATCGTACCACGAAGCGTTGATCATGGTGGGGGGCCGCATGCGGGCGGTGCCACTGGGACCTTCGGATGAGCTCCCCATGGGGCCACGAAACGTTGAACTGGGTGGGGGTGACGCATGCGGGCGGTGGCACTGGGGCCTTCGGTGGAGCTCCCTATGGGGCCATGAAGCGCTGGGAATGGTTGTCGGAGGTCTTTTTTTGTCCTCTGTTTTTTTCGCTGGAAGTTGGCCGTGTTATTCTGAAAACTGTTTTTTAGCCCCCACGGTGTAGGGGGCGCGCAAATATTGAACGGGGCGTGTGCTAATTAGTCAATTTTTCTATGTAGCGCTGACCTTAAAAATAGGCACCGCTAGTATAGAGAGGCGATGTTTTTAGCAGACCGCTATAATGGAATCGTCATTTTTCGTTAGCCTGGTCAATGGAATTGTCACTTTTCGTTAGCCTGGTCCCCAGTTTTGTGCACCATATATAATGGAGAGGTGTTTAAACGTGAGCCCGTCTCAGACCACCAGAGGCTAAAT